AAGCTTAAGGACTAACATGGTAACTCAAACTTCAAACCTAGGTATATGTTATGAGGCCTAAACCAAGAGATTCATCACATCCCAAGATACTTTTGTCACCAGCTGCTGCAGCTGCAGCAGCTTCTGTCACTGCTGCATATGCCTTGACCAAACCTGAAAAGTTCGACTCCACTGCTAGAGATGATTCAATTTTTAAGGGAATCCAAAACAATACCTTTCAGAAGAATTTATCTGATGAAATTGGTACAGTTAGAGAAGAGAAGGAGAGATTGGAATCCTCTCTTGCTGAAGTAACAAGGGAAAACTTTTCTCTTAAGGCAAAGATTGAGGAAGTCAATAACACTTATGCTGACTTATCCAAGGTATTCTTTTTCTTTTAATAAGTATGGTGCGTGTGTGGTCAGTTTTTGGTCAGGCTTGATGGAATTCATATTTGTGGTGCATACACTCAATTGGGGCAAAATACGCGTCAAACTGAATCAAATCTGTTAGTTAGTCTAACCGAAGTCCCTATAGACCCATGTATAATACCCTCTCAAGTTGGCAATTGAACTATTTTGAATCTAATTGGTTTGCCATTAAGAATTATCCCCCCCCCCCCCCCCCCCCCAAGATGCGGAAACTTAGTATCCCTCCTAGAGTGATGCAACACCTAAACACGGGCTAGTTAGCCACTGTTTTTTCCCTATAATAATTACTAAATAGGCTTACAGACAAATATGACTACATAGTCACTACAGTCACTGTGTAAGTACCATCATGGTCACTACAAATTGGAACTACATCATGATCACCACATCAGCATTCATTTGCAAAAATGTGCTTGGCCTCCCACTCAATTGGTGAAACCCCAAAACAAGGACTGCTAACCCCAATAAACGAAGTGACTTTGATACCATGATTGAATTCATCACTGGATCAAGATCACTCTTTTTTAAATGCATGTAGGCCAAACCATTGTAAAAGATTGATATCTATCCTAACTGTGTCATAAGCACATTTATCAATCTTGAATCTCTCAATGTACAATTCCTAACAGTGAATCTAAATTGACTACTTCAGGAATTACATTCAGTTCAGAGTCAGTTTACAGCGGAGCGATCAAGATGTGCGGAGTTGGAGGTTATACCCTTCCATCCGTTTGCTTTCTTAACTGGTTCACTCTTAAACTTGCTTCTCTCCATTTTTCAGGCACAAATAACTGAGATACGGAAGGTACTAGAGTCCATGCAGTCAGTAGAGGAGGAGGTTGAAGAACTTCGGAGGCAGAAATCTGAAATGGAACGAGATATGGAACTCGGAGTTGCCCAGGGTCAGAGGCAAGGGGGTGTTTGGAAGTGGATTGCTGGGTGAGTTTTGAAAATGCGCCTGGGGGTACTCCTGCCATACCTCAAAGCTTTCAATGGAGCTCAAAACAGTTCTCTAAGATAAAAAACGGCAGTTTATAATCCCTTCATTCTTTGAGCTTGTTTTCTCTTTTATTCTCTTATCCATTTATTTGGCTGTGTAATTGGAACTTCAATGTTCTCTTATAATTACATTTTCAATTGTAACTGTCATTCATTTGTAACATTTTGTGTGTATGATACCTTCGACATGTAATCTTCATGTTTAAATCTTCCATTTTGTTTGTAATATAATATAATACGGAGTAATACACTGATTGGGAGGAGTAATGTCCTAAATTCTAATACTTCCTCCGTTCCATAAAAGTTGCAACATTGGAATTTCTGCACTATTCACACACTTTACTTTGACTACGATTTTTTAATAATATATATTATAAAAATATTATGTATAAAATATTAATAAATTTGTATTAATGTAAATTTCCAATATATTAACTTTTTTTAATGTTTACTAATACATAAATAAATATAATTACAATCAAAGTTGCGCGTTGGCAAACGTGAAAGTCAAATTGTTGCAACTTTTATAGAACAGAGGATAGTACTTGTTTTTTGGTTGTGGCTTTTGTATTCCAGATGAGTCTGGTAAATATCTTGCCCAGATAATCCATGGCCTTTTGTCCTCAGTATTACAAAAATGAGGATAAAAGATAAAAATGTGACCCCTTTTCTATATTTCCAAAAATGTGAGAAACATCACAATTATATCGTACCGGCCATAGTGACTCTGGCCACAGTGATTGCCGTCTACTGGCCACAGTGGCCACAGTGACTCCGGCCACAGTGATTGTCTGTCCACCGGCCAAAATGTCTGCCCACCCACCAGTCAAAGTGAATGGTCGCCCACTAGTCAAAGTGATTGCTAGCCCAAGTCCCCACACCATCGCCACATTCCAACCACAGCCATATGGCCCTGCCATACCACTGCTGACATCGCCAATCACCGTTGCCACTTTCCAACCGCCGCCATATGGCCCTGCCTTACCACTGTCGGCATCGCCAATCACCGCCGCCCACCACTTCATCCAGTGCCCAAACTACCTATTGCCCCTCCCCCTCCCCACGCCCCTACCCATATCCTGACCCGCCTCAGCCACCCTACCTGCTTCAGCTCCGACAAGCCAAACCCAACCCCGATCCACCCCTCCCCAACTCCAATCTATCCCCGATCTGGCACCATTTCCCCTTCGTCGTCGCCATTGTCGAACCCTAGCCGTCGTTGCATCGTCGAACCCTAGCTGCCATTTTCACAAAGAGATCCATCTCCTTCACAATCGCCGTTGCAGATCGGCCCTAGATTTGGAGAAGGTCAACGCCACCAACAGAAAGAGAAGAAATAGAAGAAGTTCGTAGGGCGAGCACGAGAGCGGCAATGAAGGCGACGAAGACCAGTGCGAGGACATCGTCGACGTTTCATTCCTCTTTCCCCGGAGGGCAACGGCGACGGGAAGGTAGCGGAGGAAGCGTTGAACCTCCTACTCCGTCTCTGCGATGTGTAGCGGCAATCTGCTCCCTGGGGAGTTCCTTGGCCTTTGAGCGCAACAACGAAGAACAGAAGAAACATTCTTTGGTCATATTTAGTCAGAAAAGGGGATTAGGTTTTAAAGGTGCGATCACTTTTTAGCTGAGACTTAATTTAGTCATATTTTTGTCAATTAAAAGCCGATTAGTCATATTTGGGCCATTATTTCATAATCCACTCACAAACCTATTTTTTGAAAGGAAATAGTTAAACTAAAGTAATGTAAACTAAAGCTCCATCAACATTCTTTTAAAGGACTCCAACTAAACAAATATTCTACGATTAAATTCTATGACAGCCACCTTCAAAGAAGCGGTGCGAATTGCTGACAATTAAATGCACAACATAGAGTTCTTTTATTCAATTATTAATACAAAAAAATGCATGTTCCAGACTTCCAGCCATGGTTTGGAACCAAACTGTACTTACATTCAACAAGAATAATTTGGAAATACGAAATAAAGTTAAATATTCATATCCCATTTACACATTACCACTAGGGGTGCAAACGAGTCAGTCCGCTTGTGAGTCCCTTGGTCAAAACTCGATTTGAGTTTGGTCAAACTAGAACTCGAGACGACTCGTTAAGCTAACGAGCCGAGCTCGAGCTCAAAGAATTATATAACAAATAAATAAAAAAATAATAAAAATATTAATAAATAATTATATATATGACTGTATACTGATTTGTATGTATATTATATTGATTTATTTTTTGGTGTTTATTTCTTTGTATATTTCAAATGTTAGGAATGTAATTTTAACAATTTGGAAAATGATTTTTGTTTTGGCTCGAATTCGAGCTCAAGTTCAAACATCTTATTTGAACTGAAACCTATAAAACGTATTAGGAAAATTTGTCATGAGCTCGAACCAAGCTCGAGTTGAGCTCCAGCCAAACTCGGCTCGAGTTCGAACTCGATTTATTTTGGTCGTCCAAGTTCGAGTTTGTTGATTCTTATCAAGCTCAAGCATATTCATGTTCGAGCTCGACTCCTTTCGTTTGCACCCCTAATTACCACTTTTATTTAAGTGTATACCATTTAGTAATTGAAATGGGAAAACTATCAAGTATGCCCCGTACTATAGTGAAAATGACGATTAAGTCCTCATACTTGAAAAACATCCAACTGAACTCCCGAACTCTTAAAAAAGATCTATTGAGTGTTTTAGCATGTAGCTTCAGGTTCCCCAGGTAATGGCCCACGTGGCAGCCACGTGGCCTTTGAACTGATCTGTGCGCCGTTGCTGGATATCCCTTAGCCGACAGACTCCACTGGCCCTCTCCACTTAGGCGCCGGACATCACAACACTCAATCGCTGCCCCTTCACTGAGTTAGAAGCCGCCCTTCTCTGCAGCCAGCCGCCCTTGTGCCACCGGCCACCGAAATCATCCCCCCTCGCCATCTCTCAACCGGCGACCTCCACACCTACGCCGTTGTGACTGCCGACCTTTGATCTGATCTGCGCGCCATCGCTGGATATTCCTTAGCCGGCGGACTCCACTGGCCCTCTGCACTCAGCCACCAGACATTGTTGGAAAAATGGTTTTACAAATTAATATTATGGTCATTAATATTATTTGTAAAAAGCATTTTGAAATGAATGAGAAATTGTTTCTCGAAAGATAAGTGTGGAATTATATCTCACACGCAAACACCGTCACCGCCGTTCAGTAGGCCGGGTCGGGTTTCGGGTTATAGTCTTAAACCGTCCGCCTGAGTATATGACTTAAAGATAATTCTATTAGTCGTTCTTAATTTTGGATAATGTTTTGCAATAGACACATCCATTGGTTTTAGAAGGAAGATCATGACCTTTCTTTCTAAAGGTGTCTTTTGGGTGTAGAGTCTCCTGGCCAGAGCTCTATATATATACCCATGACTGACGACATTTTCAATCAATCCGAAAATTATCACACAATCCTCCATATTCTCTCTTCGTTGCATCTTTGAGTTCGCAGGAATCCCGTTGGGAGCGAAGAATCGTTCTATCCTGGGAGACGCTTGCTACGTGTGTCGGGCAAAAACGTCTTAAGAAAACAACGCTTAAGTTGGACTCGGTTACAAGTAATTTTAGATTGTTTCCTTAATTATTTAATTATTATTCTATGTGCGCCAGAATATTAATACACACAAATAACAATCTTTAAGACATCACAACACTCAGCCATCGCCCCTTCACTGAGTTAGAAACCGCCCTTCTCTGCTGCCAGCCGCCCTTTACTCCACCTAGCTGCCGCCCTTCACTCCAGGAATCCGGTGATGACCGGCCACGAACTCCGACTTCAGCGTTGGCGGCCGCAATCCTCAGAGGTGGTGGTCACAGTCCCCGGAGGTGGCGGCTGGAATCCTTGGTGGTCGGGGCAAAACTTGAACGAACGGAAGAAGGAAAGAAAGAGAGGGGAAAAGAGAAAGAAAGAAAAAGAAAGAAAAGAAAGAGAAAAAAATATGCACATAAACCGCCACGTCGGACATTAACCTGGAACCTAAATCTTACCTGCTAAAAAGCTTAATTGACTTATTTTTAAGAGTTCCAGAGCACAATTGAATGTTTTTTAAGTACGAAAGCCTAATCACTATTTTCCTCTTTGTAGTCAAGCACAGTAATTGCTCAAAGACTTGAAAACAAAATGATGATCCATTCTCAAAACTTCTTCACATTCGTTCCTCAGGATAGTTGGTATTGAGAGGGATTTTGAGCTCGCTCAACAAAGGTATGCTCTTCAATGCCTGTGCCTCCAAGCATCTCAGCTCAAGCTTCTCTCCAACCCCATGTAAACACTTCTTCCCCTTCATTCTTATTCACCGCTGCTTTTCATCTCTTCCCATTCCTGTCGAATCCGATAACATTGAAACATTAGTTCAGCAGCATCCCCCGAATTATGGAATCAGAAGGGAACCCCCGATTTCTGATAAACTGTTCAAATTCGCCGCACGCTCAGGTTCTCACAAGCAGGGCGACTCCACCTTTTATTCTCTCATCGAGAACTACGCCAACTCTGGGGACTTCACGTCCCTGGAAAAGGTTTTTGATAGGATGAAACACGAGAACAGAGTCTTTCTAGAGAAGAGTTTCATTCTAGTGTTTAGGGCTTGTGGTAAAGCGCGCTTGCCTGATAAAGCTATTCAACTCTTTGGAAGAATGGTGGATGAGTTCCACTGTAAGCGGACGGTTAGGTCCTTTAATTCTGTTCTTAATGTGATTATACAGTCCGGGTCATATAACCAGGCCTTGAAGTTTTATCATGATGTTGTACATAGGAGGGTTTCTATGCCCAATGTCTTGACTTTTAACTTGATTGTTAAAGCAATGTGTAAGTTAGGTATGGTAGACAGTGCAGTAGAGTTGTTCAGGGAAATGCCTGAATGGGAATGCAACCCAGATGTTTATACGTACTCCACTTTGATGGATGGGCTGTGTAAGGCGGATAGGATTGAAGAAGCCGTGACTTTGTTGGATGAAATGCAAATGGAGGGCTGTTCTCCCACTCCGGCTACTTTTAACGTTTTGATCAATGGGCTATGTAAGAAGGGTGATTTAGTACGAGCTGCGAAGCTTGTAGACAATATGTTTCTCAAAGGTTGTGTTCCTAATGAAGTGACTTACAACACACTGATACACGGTTTGTGTCTTAAAGGGAAGATGGAGAAGGCAATTAGTTTGCTTCATAGGATGACTTCTAACAAACATGTCCCTAATGATGTAACATATGGAACCATCATTGATGGTCTTGTCAAACAAGGGAAAGTCACCGAAGGTGCATACATTTTGAAAGCAATGGAGGAAAGGGGATACCCTGCGAACGAGTATGTTTACTCTTCGCTAATTAGCGGGTTTTTCAAGGAGGGGAAATCTGAAGAGGCGTTGAAAATATGGAAGGAAATGGTCGATAAGGGGATAAGGAAACCTAACACGGTTGTTTATTCTGCTCTTATAGATGGCTTGTGCAGGGAAGGTAGACCTGATGAAGCAAGGGAGATACTTTTGCATATGATTAATATGGATTGCATGCCAAATGCTTTTACATATAGCTCCCTGGTGAAGGGTTTTTTCAAAACAGGTAAAAGCAATGAGGCCTTGCGTGTGTGGAAAGATATGGTGGATCGGAATGTTGTACCTAATGAAGTTTGTTACAGTGTATTAATCCACGGATTGTGCGAGGACGGTAAACTGAGAGATGGTTTGATGGTATGGAAGCAAATGATGAGCATTGGTCGGAAACCCGATGTAGTGGCATACACTTCTATGATATACGGACTATGCAATTCCGGGTCAACCGAACAAGGACTTAAACTTTTCCACGAGATGTTATGCGGAGAATCTAGAAGTCAACCTGATGTGGTTACATACAACATACTTTTTAATGCTTTATGCAAGCAGGATAAGGTCTCACACGCCATTGATCTTTTGAATAATATGTTGGATCGAGGGTGTGACCCCGATTTGGTTACATGTAACATTTTCTTGAAAAGTATAAATGAGAAGTTGGATCCACCCGGAAGCGGGAGAGTGTTTTTGGATGAGCTAGTGGTACGATTACACAAGAGGCAGAGAATTCTTGGGGCATCAAATATTATAGAAGTCATGCTTCAAAAGGCTTTATACCCTAAATTGTCCACTTTGGATAAAATGGTCAGAGAACTATTGAAAGAAAAGAAGGTTCGACTGGCCATCGACAAGTGCTGGAATGACCTGTTCCTTTGACTACTCCATCGAGGTTAGATGACTTCTTTTTCTGGCAGTTTTTTAAAAATGTTCCACCGAGTTAGCTTTCCCTCCATGGCAGAATAGGATTCTCATTTACTGTTCTTGTGGTCAACTTATCTTCTTTTCAATTGTTGTTTGTCAATCTTTATCGTACTCATTTTTTATTTCTGCATTTCAATATTCCATTTAGTGTTGCCTCTAAATATGTACATATTAAATTATAATACCCCCTCCGCCCAAATGGACTTTATCATCTTTCCTTTTTTTTCTTTCCCAAAAATTTTGTCACTTTCCTTTTAGAGTTATGAATTTGCGGTTCAACTTATCTTTCTGCTTTGCCCAAACCACAACATAATTTTTACTAATTTAAATATGATTATGGGAGAGTTTGTTTTTTCACTCGTCAGAAATAGTTAATCGAAATGGGGACCTTAATACAGGACAGAGGGAGTCCAAGATATTATATTTTTAATGATAAGAAATGGTCTAATTATCTTGAGTTGCTTTTTGTATCTTCAGACTTTGGCATGGTCTACAATTAAAATCGACCACAGAAGTTCTTCCAGCTCTATCTTGTCAGTGGTCATTGTATGGCCAGATTTGAGGCAGTTAGTTTCTAATCTACTTATTGTTCAGTGCATGTGAAACAGTCAAAAGTGATGTTACTGTGATTATTTTATTTCATAATTATCATCTTTATTCCATTGTCAGATTAAATGGGATCACAAATTGCTGCTTCATGCTGTGTGCCGAAACAGGTTTGCATTTCTTGATAATGTTTCAACTTGATAGAAGTAGTTTGTGACAGCTTCTGGCTTGAAATGTCATTTTTCCATGCAAAAACTTATCTTGGGATTTCTGAGTCCCTGACATTACTGTTAACTGAAATGGAGGATTCAAATATCAAGGAAATTCAGAATGATGCCTCCAAGAAAAGATCTATCAGATGAAAAGTTGATATATTTAGAGAAGGGAGTGGGGGGTGGGGTCTTCTCTTGCTGGAAGTTACATCATAAAACTCTGCCCTCAAGTCCAAGATTGAAGAAGTCATTAACACTTATGCTGAAGAAGTCATTAACACTTATGCTGACTAACTGACTTTATTCAAGGTAATTCTATCTTATGTCGCTATAAGCCTCTTATTTTCTATCGTGTCAGTCCTCTTATTATGATCAATTCATGTTAGCCGACCCCAAAATCTTTTTGGAATAAGGCTTGGATGTTGTTGTTGTACTGACTTGGGGATTTCATTCACAGTTCAGAGTCAGCTTACGTTGTAGTGATCAAGATGGTGAAATCGGAGGTCATATCCTTCTACCACCCACAGACAGTTACTCTGTATTTCTATGGTATGACTCATTCTCTTTCACTGTGACACTAATTCTGATAGGAATTATTAATAAGTGGGCCTATTATAGATATTAATAAGTGGGCCTGTGATTTTAATAGAAGGAAGAGGGTTATGGGCTATAAATAGTTGGGAAAATTAACTAATGAGGAAGGCTGTGATTGAATTGGCATTTTGGCTTAGGAGAGTAGGCTTCTCGAACAGTCCTAGCTTTTGTATACGTATTGCGTTTAGCTCTATATCAATAAACACCTTCGATCATTACTCCATATTTCTCATCGATCTATATTGTTTGCTGTTATATTACCTGTGATCTATCATTGGTATCAGAGCAGTGGGGCGGTGATCGTTGGCAGTAGCGACATCACCGTATTTGCCCAATTTCATCGTTCGGATAGTGAATGGTTCGAACAAGAGGAAAAATGGAGCAACGTCTGGAAGCAGTTGAACGCAGTCGAACTACCATGGAGGAAGCACTGTTGCGGATGGAAACGATGATGCAGAACATGTCAGGAAGGATCGACACGATGAGCGAGGACCACCATCACCGAGGGAGATCGCGATCTCACCATAGTCATCACTCGCGTCCATCGCCCAGTCCAGCGGTCTCAAGAGGTAACTCTGCTCATTCGAACCCTGCTATTCACAGACGACATGATGAATATAATAGATTCCCAGTTCATACGGGTCGTAAGGTGGATTTACCATTGTTCAATGGTGATGGGGCTTATAATTGGCTAGTAAGGATGGAGAGGTACTTTAGACTGAATTATATTGCTGAGGAGGATAAGTTGGAAGTCTCGGTAGTGGCTATGGAAGACAGGGCTCTGAATTGGTTCCAGTGGTGGGAACTTCAGACCGAGGAGAAGAACTGGGAATCACTTAAGGAATCTATTATTCGTAGATTCCAACCTGACTTGTTACAGAATCCATACGGACCGATGTTGAGTTTGAAGCAGGCTGGAACAGTTGAAGCATACAGGGATGAATTTGAGATGATCATTGCTCCACAGAAGAATGTTGACCGAGAAATACTAAGGGGGGTATTTCTCGCTGGATTAAAGCCAGAAGTCAAAGCCGAATTGAAACTGCATCAATCCAGGTCACTAGCTGAAGTAATGGATATGGCTTTACTGGTTGAGAAGAGGAATGAAGCAGTATCTGTTAAGAGACAGGAGGATGAGAGATTGGGTGGAAGGGATAAAGAGTCAGTTTATGCTAAACCTCCCAGGTGGGGAGAAGGTTTCAGAACAAGAGCTGGTAGTTCAGGGGTTCAAAATCAGAACAAAACTAACCAGACTTGGTTTAACTCAGCAGGGAATAAGGAGACTGAAATTCATTCTTCAGGGATAAAAAGGGTTGGACCTCAGCTATCACAGGATGAATACCAAGAGAGAAGTAGGAAGGGGCTTTGCTTTAAGTGTGGAGAGAAGTGGAATAGAGAGCATACCTGCAAACTGAAGCATTATAAAATGATGCTTGTAGAAGATTCAGATGCTGAGGAGGAATCTGAAAGGATAGATCCTGAAATTACAGAAGAAGAAATTGTAATGGAGTCCAAATCCATGCAATTGTCACCCATGAGTAAGGAGGGGATACCTACCATGAGAGCCTTCAAAATTAAAGGAATTATGAAGTGGGATAGAGGGGTAAAACAAGTGGAAGTGCTGATTGATAGTGGGGCCACTCACAACTTCATTTCTAAGAAACTGGTGGATGAATTGGAGCTGCCTTTTAAAACCATTTCAGGATACAAAGTGCAGGTTGGTAATGGAGAAAAGCTATCTAATGATGGAAGATGTGAAGATTTGACTTTATGTATGCAGGGTTCAATCATAAAACAAAACTTTTACTTTCTGACTTTGGAAGAAACTGACTTGGTTTTGGGAATGGAGTGGCTGACTACTTTGGGAGATGTGGAAATAAACTTTCGGAAACAAAGTATAAAATGGAAGATTCAGGGGTTAGATCAGCAGATTCAAGGGGACCCACACTTGAGCTCCATGGAGATATCACTGAAAAACATGACTCCGATGGTGCAGGTGGTGCAGGACACTGGTGATGGTTATTGTATGTTTTATGAAGGGCAATCTGTGCAGGTAAAGAGTGTTGCTTGTGCTGGAAGTCAGGATAAAGTTCTGGAGGTTGACAACATTGTAATAATTCTGGGGGCTTTGGCAAAATCAGGGGTGCAAGATGATCCAAAGTATATTGCAATTGAAGAATCCAGGTTCACGCAATCTGATGCCAGGTTGGGGGTGATAGTAAAGGAAAGTGCAGGAAGGATGGGGAAGAAAATCTTGAGAACTGGGTTCGGAACTTACCAACTGTGGAAGTTTTACATTGAAGGTAGGAATTCTGGTTCCATACCAAAGATAACAGCTGCTGAAATATCAGGTTCTGGATTGAGCTGGGCAAATGAGTTTGATTTTGTATATCAGTTGGGTGGACTCGATATAGAACTGGATTCTACGTTTCAGACGGTTGTGATTGCTATCTCACAGATAGGGCACCTCGTGGATCTACCTTTAAAACAAGGAAGTGAGAAGGGAATCACAGCTGCTAGAAATTGGTGGGGTGAACTGAACATTCATAGTGAAATTATGCAGCAAATAACCGGGAACCATAGCTCTCTTCATTGGCAATCTAAACAGGAGGTTGGGAAGGACCCAACAGTGTCAGTACACCTGCTCATTCTGGCGGTGGTAGAGGTCAAGGGGATGGCCCAAGTGCTGAAGCTAAAGATCCAGAATGCTTTGTGGTACTGGGTAGGGAGAGGGGCTCAGATGAAGATGAAGTTGATAATCAAGGCTGACTCCTATCACCCACCTTGAGGACAAGGTGGTTGTTTAGGGGGGGAGTAATGATAGGAATTATTAATAAGTGGGCCTATTATAGATATTAATAAGTGGGCCTGTGATTTTAATAGAAGGAAGAGGGTTATGGGCTATAAATAGTTGGGAAAATTAACTAATGAGGAAGGCTGTGATTGAATTGGCATTTTGGCTGAGGAGAGTAGGCTTCTCGAACAGTCCTAGCTTTTGTATACGTATTGCGTTTAGCTCTATATCAATAAACACCTTCGATCATTACTCCATATTTCTGATCGATCTATATTGTTTGCTGTTATATTACCTGTGATCTATCAAATTCCAACTTGAATGTTCGTAATATCGGAGACACATCTTCAATTGCGACATGTTTTTTGTGTGATATTCGATTCGGGCATTATTGCCGGTTTCTATTGGGCCACAAACAGCGTCATGAAATGATTTCCCATGATTATCTACCGAATGCTGGGGTTTGATAAATTGTCAATCTCTTCCAACTTCTCTGCAGATGCCTCTCCCTTTTGAGATCTTTCAACTAATTAAGTTAATCTTATTTTGAGTTCGACATATATATTTGGAAGCATCCCAACCTTGGCTCAGATTTGCTAGGTCTTGGCCGATTTTATCAGTTACTAGACCTATGCTTTGATTTGATGATTCTCTACCCAAAATCAAGGTCTTGGTTTCTTGTGGCACGGGCCAAGGCGAGGTGCTTTGCTGATCTCTTTTGAAGTATGTAGTATATCATTGCTGAACTTACGGGCATAAGCCGGTCTCCTTATGATGTGCAACAAACCTTTGTTTTTAGATTTGTATAGCACATACCCGGGGATGTGGCCAATGATGCAGGGCACACGGCCTTTTTGAGCTTCTTTGAATATATATCCGGGGAGCTCTTCGGTGGATCCCTATTGTGGAATGTTTTGGTACATCATACATGTGGCAGAATTCCATTGGAATATATTCCAGGTCATTAAAAAATCAAAACATTTGCAGAGGTGAACCTTGCACAATTAAAAAATTCTCACAGTCGACATCATATTTTCTACTCGCAAGTTCTTCAAAAAAATCGAGTGAGAATTTCAAATTAATGTCAATGGAACCAAATTCTAGTGGCAGTGGAGGGGATCATTTGATATTTCACGCTGTGGAGTTCGTGAAGGGATTTGCTACGATGAGTGTGGAGTTCTGGAAGGGGTGAAGATTGTCGTGATGCAGATGGTGGTGTCTGAGGACTCTATGATCCTGAAGAAGCTTGGAGGACAGTGCTTGAAAATTTCCAGAAAAATGATTCTTATGAACGACTATTTTCCAGAAGATCGCGATCCATTTCTTCGTCGCAATAAATGCTTTTGCAGGTATTCCTGTTGTTTTGACAGCTCTAAAATCTCAAGTTTACTGGAACAGTCCGGCGACCCTTGTTTCAGTTCTAGATGACCCACCTCCAATGCTAAAATGTTGCTAAAGATCTAATGTTTCCGTGATTCTGCAACTTGGAAACCTCAAGTTCTATCTCTAACTCCATTTCTTTATCAATCTGTACTCTATTAACTCATCGATAGAAATCATGCACTTCAGATATTTTTGTGCAAAAAAGATTTGGTTTTATCCTCCTCTTCATTCTTCGACCTTCACACCATCATAAGATACGTAGGAATTAAGATCAACTATGTTGTTCAGTGTGACATGTTAATGTATTTTAATTGGCGTGGAAAAACATTTCTTTCGATGTGTTCTATCCGCAAGTGTGGTTGTTACTGATTAGTTCTTTTAAATGTGAATATGTGGGTTGAAGAAAGAGGGTTAGAGAAGCAGTTCAAATAGCTGAGGGTGACACATGTGATCAAGATTAATCGTTTATGATAAAGACTCAATCTTTAAGATAAAAAGAGTAGACTTGAGATGGAAACACAACTGGGTTTGAATGAGTAGACCTTTAATGTTAGGTACTCAAGATCTCATGTTGATTTTCCAAGTACACTTTAATGTCTTTGGATGTTTTTGGCTAAGAGCTCAAAACGAAGAAGAATATATTCCTTACGAATAAAGCTTTTTGCAGCTAGCATGAGGTCATTGGCTCCTCCAAGTTTGTCTCTTTGACAGTTTCAATCATTCCAGTTTGTGAATGGGCTAACTACTAATACTTCATAGACCTTCTACTATGATCTTTGCTCCAGCACGTCTAAGCTTCTAGGTTGTATACTACATTGTACTCTTAAAACTAACGACAAATCTACAGGAGCATGTAAAGTGAAGGGATTTTAGAACACCAAAATCGATAACATTCTATCAGTTTAAGTCATGTATGCTTCATACAACTCAAGTCATTTCATTTTTTGTTGGTTTACCTGCTAAGTTCTTTAGATTTAACATGCTTTCATCTACCTTATTTTTATGTTTCTAAGTTTATTATAACTATTTGTAGATACAACTGAGCCATAATAATTTACTTTCCTTTTTTCACTTACAGACCCACTTTGCTAGTTGGCTATATGTAGTGGACGTGATGAGACTAAAACATCAAGCATATGTGTGTTAATATTTCCACACATGATCGCATACAGATTAAGATACTAAGTGTGTTGTATATGATTAGATTGGAATTCTTTGATTATTCAGATTTTTACTATGGTTACGCTAAACATATAGGTATATGTATATGCATATGCATATGTACAAAGCGGGTAGTTTAGGTGGCTCAAAAGGTGGTATTTTTTTCTCTTAATATCCTTTTTGTTGAAAACAACTGCTACAATATTACTTTATTGAAATCACATTTACTTGCATCTTTTTTATTTTAAACACAAACGGTATATATATATTGGACAATAACCGGCAATTTAATTGACTACAACCTAGGATTTCTAAACCTTAGATGGTTAGGTTTCTTAGTACTATACTCTTACACCCCTTCGGTCACTCACTAGATAATTTTCAGTGTCTTTTAAGTATCTTTTCAGTCCAGTTATAGTAAATTTGATATCCTTCTAGGCATAAGTTCTCTAGCACATTTTAAATCACAGTCTTACTATTTTTTTGACTTTAATAATTTTATTTTTTCGAGTGTAGCATTCATAATGTATGATTCCTTGGAAAAAAGAGTAGACAGTTATAATCGTTTGGAGATTACAGGTCATTATTGTGAGGTGTTTGTGGATTCTGGTGATGCTGGACGACATATTGAGTTTTTTGATTGAGCTCATACGAGGAGCTATATAGAAAACTGGGCGATATGTTTAATTTGGGATCCGAATGTCGATGATGCTAAGCAATGTGGTGTACCAGGATACTGCCAGTTTAGTTTGGCACACTGGAGATGAGCTATTCAGGTGGGTTATGAGTGGTTTGTTTGGCTGAAATGAGTGTGATAAGCACTCTTCTTATTCTTAAAAGATATGGACTACATTCGTCAATTTCGGTCAAATAACTCTTGTCAAATGGCCTTCAAGTTTCTTGTTGTTTTTCTTTTTGAACTTTCATGTTGAAACTTAAACTAACATAATACTACTCTCTTTCTTTTGCAGCAGCGAGTTAATGAAGAAGTCTTGAATAATTTACGCAGAGTAAAGTCATCCAAGATCAACTTCATGCTTCTATCCCAGATCGTTTTTGCTATAGGATGTTTCTCTTTCTTGATCATAATTTGCAGCTCATCATTGGAATTATTATATCCCAGATGTAACTCTTTATGGTCTCATCTTCATATGAGTAATGTAATGAAGAAAACTGATTGTATAAATGAATTATATAACATTGAGAGAAGAGAAATGGCTACAAATGGGAGTAAAACATATGTATTGAGAGTTGAATGATATTAATAACTAACTGAGCATATATTTTCCCATCCATTCCAAACCTAGCATCTTGTCACGGTGAGGATTGTCACTATGATCTTCTCACACCACATCTTTGTGTTGAACCTTCATTTTCCACCTTCATTTTCCATCTCCATTTTGCTTCTTCCTCCAATCCTACAGGTTATATTCTTGGGAATTGTATGCTGCCTATCACCCTTCTCCATATTATCAGGTTTTAGAGACATACATATATCATCTCAAACTTCAAGTAAAATTTAATGGCGAATGAAAAGTGTCTAGTAGCCTGGTTAAGCAAAAACGGGAGTTGAAAACTGAATAAGCTTGGGGAAGATTCGAAGTCATCTAATGAATCTCACCATGACAAAATTGTTATGGTTAAGCTCCAAGCTCCTTAACTAAATGAAAATTACAGAGTGAAAACTAACCACGAATCCGCATTCTGAAAAACTTCACAATCATCACATATTCAATGTCGGAAAAGTGATTTACATGGTATCTAAATATCTAAAGACACTCAAGTAAAAAATACATCAAAATCGCTCAAAGAATCAACAAAACTAAGTTACTGTGAAATATTCCAAGCCAATTATGTCCTTGAGAATCAGCAACACTGCAAATGGCATACTCTCATTCGTGCTAACCTTCAAGGACAATTATCCAAAAGCAGCACAATCCAATGAAAGAATAGCGATCCAGGACGGCAGGACATCAAAGGAAACCACTTGACATCTCAAGAACACTTCATGAAATGCATCCATACTCTCACTGAGGATCTGATTCCAACTTTGAAGTCCTAAAGGTATAAAAAAACCTGTCAAATTTCCAACCTATAAACAACAAACAACACAGAAAAAAATTTAGGACAAGAGATTTTCCATTTTTAAATTGCTATTAGCAGATAAAGCACCCATTCATAGATTTGTTTCCTTGCGGCTTAGAGTAGAGCAGCAACAGAATCACTGAATGTAAATAGGGAGGATAATAACTATATAGATATGCAGGGAATAGAGTATAAAGAGAAATTCACAAGTCAAAATATAAATATATATTTATAGCCAGATGGTTTAAGTGAATAATACTCTTCCTATAAAAATGATAATTAATCTCATCCCGTACATATTCTTCCCACAAAAATTGATAATTATGTTCATTCCTTAAAAAAGAAACAATATTGAAAAGAAGATGGTTTAAGCTTGAATACAAAGGGAAGATGAAAACTACAGAGTATATAGAAGTAAATGATATAATAATCATATACAAACTAATTATTTAAAATCTAAAGTTAACTAATACGGAGTAAAACAGATAAATCTGTAAAGTAAAATCATCCTCCCCTACTGCAAAACCTGACACTCTTGAACTGAAGAAGTCAGAAGTCAGCAACTCCTCTATACTTTATCTAGTCAAAGGTTCCTATGGGAGGGAGATGTTTACTTATTCTCTTTGTTATGATAATCTAGCAATTTCAGGCCTAAAAGAATTAGGGACGAACCGACTTTGATTTATGACATATGAGATTAGAATTTTTTGGGGTTTTCTGAATAAAAAAGCCTATCCACGCAACACACAAGGCTAGTGTGTCTCTTGCTCACGGGGAAAGAAAGAAGGACAAGGTGCAGATTACGGATTGTAATATAAGTGAACCTTAAGCTGAGCTTAACTGAACGCCGGCACGACGTCACATAGAATAATTTGCTTAGAATCGAAGGAGGATATTCATCAGGAATAATAAATTTAAGTAACAAATAAGATCAAAATTAGTGAAAAGTGAATAAATCAGAGATGATGAAATTCACCTGGAGCGAAGTGATTGAGTCACAAAGTGGTTGCGCGTCCTTGTCGACGAGGATAACAGGGATAAAGGAGACTGGAAACCCTGAGTAAGTTGAAGATTCGTTCGTTCCTTTAGCCCTGGCCTTTTGCTTTCGCACTAATAGAATCATCAGACGTGGAATGAAGCTCCTCTCGTCTCTTGGTGTTAAACGAAATTGGCTGGAGGTTGGGGAAGGGCTTGGTGTGCAATTATCGCATTTCTAATAAAAATATGAGCTGGTTTCATTTACCAATAAGGTGGTGCCAAGTGTAGAATGCACCAAAACATTCCATAATGTACCTCCACCATAAAATTTTCCTATATATCCCGTGTTCTGTTTCTTCTTGTTCTGAATTGTGCGGTGGCTGACAGTTGTGACACCATCTATTGTTTATATAGTAAAGCTGAGTTATTAAATGATGATGTGTCATTTTCTAATTGGTTAAATAATACAATATTTAACATCAGTTTTATGGCAATAATAAATAATCGGTAATTCTTTAGCAAAAAAATAGGCACGGTCAACACAATGGCTCTTTTGTAGCAACCATTCATTCATTTGTTTGTTGGACTTGATTAATTGAACACCAAAATTTTAGGCACTCTACTAGCTGGATACAAACTTCTTTCAATATTAAGTTCATATGGAGTACGGCTTTTATTTACTTTTTTACAAAGTTTCTTCGTGTATATATTTTACAAGATATTATAATAATATAATATGATTTGAAATGCAAAGACATGAAAAAATATAAGTTAAGAAGTATTCTCTAAACAGAGTGGAAGATATCATAATTTTTCAAATTGACTTATTCGCTCATATTTTCTTCGAAAAATATGACTTATTCGCTCATATTTTGAGGAATTTTATTAATTTATTCTACTAAATAGATCATATTTTGAAAAGAAAACATATTTAATTTTATTTTAAAAGTTTGACATGTTTTGCTCTTACTTCAAGCAATATATTTATAAATTAAATTAAAAAATTGTGAATTTCCTATATTTAATCACTTGGATGACACATTTGGCTAATTAAGATCGAAAATCTTTAAGGGAGCAAACCTTATAATATGTAAAAAGTAGATCAAAATAAATTAGAAATTTTAATCCGATTGATTCTCATAAGAATCTAAGTAAGGGGTTGATTTTTCTAATGAATTTCTATTTGAAATATTGCACTACCATTCTCACCTCTCACCTATTGATTTGAAATTTGCAATCTCATAATTCTAACGATCCATGGATTTAATTTTGGTTAAGTCAAGGTTTTAAAAAACGAATTTTATTTTAGTTATTTAGTAAATAGGTTTACAAGTTTTTCGTATTTTGGATTGTATGTTTTTTATTAGATTTTGTATCACTCAAATTATTTCTATTTTATTCTATTAGCTAGAGAAAAATGTTCTATTACTTCAATTCATTTCCTTTTTTGTTCCAAAAAAAATTCATTTCCTTTTTTTTTACTTCAATTCATTTCCATGTTAACCTATTTCCATTACAACCGTGCTTAAATTATATTTTCAAGAAGTAATTCTGAGTAAAGTTTTTAAAATTTCTAAGACAGCAATTATTTCTAACATTGCATTTGATTTATGTTAAGAATTCATTAAAAATGTGGAAAACCTTTAAAAGGGAGGAGACCCCCAAATTAAAGAAAAACTGTGGGTCCATCTTAAAAAAAATAAAAACTGATTATTTATTAATTAAGATTAGAAATTAACACCTGGCCTCATACCAAATTACTAAATGATAGGAGTATAGTCGATGATAATTATGAAAGTACAAAAACCTAAGCAATATTGAATTAAACATCATTTGACTGAGATGTGTTAAAAGACCATTCACGTGATTAGTAAATCTGAATTAAGTATAAATTGAATTTCACATTCTACAACTAAATATTAATAACTTAGATATAATATTATTTTTTATAAGCTTATTAGATGTCACTGAAATTTCCCATGGTATAATATTGCACACCTTATAATATATTATAGGATATTACTTCGTATTTGTTATTTAAGGATTGGACCTTGTATCCCATTTTTTGGTAATATTGAATTTTGCATCATTCAGCATAAAATCATTGACTCAACACCACTATCCTTTACAATTTTTGGGCTGATCTGGGCACATACACTTATAAGTTTGAAAATAAGGTGCAAAGTCAAATTCCATGATACAATTAACATTTACCTCACTCTTATGAATTTGACTCACATTATTTATAAGTAGTATAGTTTACTAACCCACATTCACAAAAAAAGCCTATCTATGTTATTTGTCTTCCACTAATAGTCCAACATTATTTTTGATATGTTTTTAACAAGGATTCAATCTCATTCGTTACAAAGCCATCTGTTTTTTTATTAAACCTCTTCAAAGGCACCAATAGAAGAATTGCAAAGTTCCTAAAAAACATTAGGGCGATGAGATTTGCATTCACTTCGTTAGGAGGAAAAGTACAAAAAGAAGTAAACATTTCTAGAGGGTCATATGTATATCAAATGCATGATACTATCAATGGATTCTAACAAATCAAAGTTCTCTCAAATCTATATTTATATCACGAAGCAAATTAATTAAGTAGACTCCATGCATTAAAAATGCTTTAAAATTTTGTGGAGTGAAGGAGAAGGATACATGCAATACAATAACAAAAATTGTGTTTAAAAAGATTAAATTTAATTTAATGCTTATGAATAATCTATAATACTAAACAAATTCATATTTGCATTTACTTTCCAAACCACTATAAATCGTATACGTACACATTAATGATTTTGAATCGGCAATTCTCATATATTAAAAAATATATTAGCACATATATTCTTCTTTATTAACATTATACCATCACATTTACACCATTGAGTGAATATTATTAACCTCTATTGATGTTCTTCATTTTAATACTTATCAAAGTGACACTACCGGGGCATGCCCCGGGTGTTACACTAGTTTGGATTTATATACGACTTACATTTCATCAGATAAAAAACTTTTTTCTTGAAAGCCTATGTAAGGACTAAGGAGCAATGTTTTAAGATCGAATTCATTTTTTTGCTCTTACAGTTTTTTTTTAAATATCAAAATTTTTATCACAAACAATAATTTAAATAATATTAGTGAAAATTTAAATTTACCATAAGCAGAAAGTGACAAAATTGTCACATAAAGGTACGAGTTTCATTCCAAAATTATTCATTTTTTCTTTTCCATTCATCTAAGAATACACATTGTTTTTCTTTTATGATAAACAATTCATATTTCATATCAATTCTCCACTTGCTGCATAACTCTCGATCAAAGAGTTTCTACTTTCAAAAAAAGAGTTTCTACTTTCTTATTCGAAGTGAAAAGTCAAAACAAGATAATATTGGGATTGAGGCACTAAAGTACTAAACTCTTTGTCTCTCTTATACTTTGCCATCTTTTCTTTTTTATTGTCCCAAACAATATACCACTTTCTTTTAATCAATTAATTGAATTTTATTATTTCTTTATTCTCTATACAAATCTCAACCCCTTATTCGAAGTGAAAAGTCAAAACAAGATAATATTGGGATTAAGGCACTAAACTCTTTGTGTCCCTTATACTTTGTCATCTTTTTTTATTGTCGCAAACAATATACCACTTTCTTTTAATAAATTAATTGATTTTTATTATTTCTTTATTCTCTACACAAATCTCAACCCCACAAGTTTGTTTAAGTATATATCAAAGAAAATGTATGTAACACTCGAGGTTAATTTGAAACGATTAATAGTACTACTCATATCAACAAGATACATCACCTTTTAAGGAATCTAATCAGTTAAGAACTAAAGTTAAATGTGTCACTCAGCTTTTGCTGAGCGTGTAGGTTGTCTGTTTTGTTTATGCTACACGTAGATAATGCGGTGCTATGAAATTTTGGTCGGATGATCAAGAGGCAAGCAGAGATCTGGCTTACGCTGGACTCGGTTCGGGCCTGGCCTGATCGAGCTTTTTTGGGAATGTCGAGGCCCGGAACCGGCCCGGGTAGCTACCGGGTCCGGGTCGGGCCCTAGCTGGTTCAACCTAGTGTCTTTTTTTTTTATTTTCTAATTACTTCCTACCCCCCACCCACACCCCAAACCCGTCCAAAACACTCAGCCCAACCCATTTACCTTTTTCAAATTTTGAAAAAAAAAAAAAAATTGGCCCAACCAAGCCAGTTCTTGTTTTTTGAGGCCCGAGAACCGCCCCTCAACAGTGTCGGGTCAGTTGGCCCGAACCGGTCACAGGACCGAGCACCGGGCCGGGCCATAACAGTACCGGGCCGGTTAACCCAGCCCAAGTCCATCCCTTGCTTACGCTCACACTAGTTCCTTAATTATGTTTAATACAAAGTAAATAATTTGACAATGAAACATATGTGACTATCTTGTAACCCACACTCCTATTACTAATTTGGATTATGGATGGACTCGGCCCGGGTGGCCCGACCCGGGACCGGCACTGTTCCGGCCCGACCCGACCCGGTGGCCCGGTCAATGACCGGTCCGGATAGGCCCGGCCCGTGGGTTTTCCGGTCCGGGCTCGGATCACCCAAAACAATGCCCGACCCGGCCAGGCCCGGTTCGGGCCAAACTATTTTTTTTTTCCAATTTTTTTTAAATTTCCGGGTTGGGCTGGGTATTTTGGGCTATTTGGGGTGGTTTGGGGGTTGGGGTGGGAGGGGGGTTAATTAGGAAGAGGAAAAAAATTGATAATGGGCCCGGACCGGCCCGGACCCGGTGGTTACCCGGGCCGGTCCCGGGTCCACCACTTCTGAACCGCTGGCCCGCCCGGGCCTAGGCCCGACCCAGACCCGGCCCGGACCTGAGTCCATCCCTAATTTGGATATTGTCTGCTGCTAAACTGTCTTATATGAGTAGTACTGTATATATGATTTTGCTGAGTGTGTAGCTGGTCTGTTTTGTTTATGCTACATGTAGGTAATGCGGTGCTATGGAATTCTGGGCGGATGATCAAGAGGCAAGAAGTGATCTGGCTTGCGTTCACACTAGTTCCTTAATTATGTTTAATAAATATTTTCACAATGAAACTTATGTGGCTGTTTTGTAGCCCACATTCGTTTTACTAATTTGGATATTGTCCGGTGCTAAACTCGTATTATTTTCTAGTTACCTACACCTCTATTACTTTGCTAAATTAAAATACTATCTATTAGTTATGATCTAGTTTCCGAATCCGCTAACATCCAACCGAATCAAGACGGGTAGTGTCAGGTTAACTGAACCGTCCGGGTCGATTCGGGTGGGTGTTACAATGTATGGGGCTGAAGTGGGCCAAATGATAACTATATTCAAGATTTGACAGACTTGAGGATCTTATTTCCCAGATATCTGAAGCCATTAACAGCACCAGCAGTTAGCAGACCTGCTACTGCCTGCCTTCCACTTGAAACCATAACTTTTCTTCTTATTATTCTACTCATCCATTTGACAGCCTCTACTTTTGAACCAATCCCTGCGCCTTGTCTCATTTTTCCTGAAAAAATATGATCAAGGGTTCAAGGTGTGTAATCAGTGTATGGCTCCCACAAATGAAGAGCAAGGATACATCATACATGTACTATTTTGGGTACATTTATTGGGTACGTTACTGCATGGCACATTGACTGAGTGGAGAAATGTTAATTTGAACATCTAAAAGATCATCTGAAATAAAATTATTGAAATATAGGCTCCTTTTTTCCTAGAATATATTGAGCGTTCGTTCCTGAATTTATCCCTGGATAAACACGTTGCTACGCATAATAACATTTGACCTAAAAGGGAGATAACATGGAACTATTTTAGGGGAAAAAATCCCCTTTTGAAAGTATTTTCCTTCTGACACCAAACACAAGAAAAATATTATTCAGGTCCTAAACACAAAAAAAAAAACAGAGAACATTTTCCTGGAAGTTTCCTTTGCATAAACAAATAGAGCCTTAGTCCATATTTTATTTTACCCACATATTTTGTCTCCTTGCAATTTTCCTCTGCAGTTTTCTCTCTGTATTCTTTTGGTAGAATTTCCCAGGTTCCAGGTGGATCCCAAAGAGCTCCAATAGACAATTAGGATACATGACATTATCTACGTGAGCTCGAATCAACCAGACTACTAGCAACGTTCAAAGAAACGCCAAGACCCATAAGAAAATTTTCACACATACCTGCAAGATTAGTCTCTATTTTGCTTTTAATAAGCGGAGGAAGGTGTGACACCAAGACAGCAGCAGCAGATAATCCTGAATCCTGGTAACAAAATGCTAAGGCTCATCAAACTCTAATACTACTATGTTGCAAATAATGCAGTAGGAAACGAATATTAGCAACAAACCCACCCAATGAAAATAAAAGAATAAGATGAGAGTATTTCAAAAGCTTATGGCATTGTGGAGACACCTGAACTATACTTGCTTTCCTGTCATCTGTTAATGAAAACCTCAGCAAGCCATCAGCAGAAAATTCATCTAAAAATGGTCTATAAGCTCTTTGGAATAAACGAAATTGTCCTTGTACAATGTTTTTTACCTAGGGATATGGTGGTTAAAGAGGAGTTATATCATATACTACCATTACTACGTATGTAATATAATTATAATGTTGATAGATCAGTCAAACATGGTAATCATATACTACGTATGAAGTATTTAGTTTTGAATAATGTGCTATAGAAGACATAAGTACAGAAAAATGAACAAAGAGTCCAAGCTTCTAACAATTTTGCTTGAAAGCTAATACAGAGTAATAAAATGATTTTGGCTGGTCTTTTTGCAAACTACGATTTTGTGTAGCCATTTTTCCAATTTCAGTTTTTTTATTAATCGGACCACATATAACCACATAATGCTTTATAAATCAATTATCTCAAATCATTGGCGTATGGTAAAAACAAGGGCAGACTGTTGCACATTGGCACCTCACAAGGCAATGGTCCCGGGAAGGGTCCCACCACAATCAATTATCTCAAATCAAGCCTTCCCTTGTCATTTTGACAAGAGGCCGTTCCCAATACTTGAACCGTGACCTCTCGGTCACACATCACCACCACCATAACCGGTGCGCCAAGGCTCCCCTCTTCAAATCATTGGTATATGGTGCAAAATAAAAATAACATATGTCAATTGATGGTTTTAGAAATTTACCACTAGTTCTTCCATAACAAGGTTGCATAAAGGACATCTGGCATAAAGCATTGTCATTGTGCTTATTTCAATGAATTTATAGCAACAACCAATGTTAGACAATTAATTAACACTATAAATAATTAATATGAGTGTTTAACTGTGATAAAGTTTCCACTTTTCAGTTTTTTCCTATACCAAAAATGTTCACGGCCAGTCATATTCTCATCCCAATGCTTTTCAGCTTCACGGCATGGTCCTCGTAATTTTATAAATGTATGCATACTGTAAAGGTTCCCATTTCTCTCTATTTATTACTCTTTTATTTATTTTTTTTTATTATTATTATTATTGGTATTGCTGTTATTATTATTATTATTATTATTATTATTACTACTACTATTATTATTATTATTATTAGTAGTAGTAGTAGTAGTAGTAGTAGTAGTAGTAGTAGTAGTAGTAACTCTGATGTCATATGTTGATTCACGTTAGCCGATCCTAAACTCTTATGGGATTAATGCTTGGATGAGATATTATTTTTGTTATTGTTGTATGCATACTGTAAAGGAATTGAATCGCACCATCTTATTCTGTACATTACGGGTGGTATTTGAAAAGAAAAGCTCCTTTTCAAGAAAACTCTAAAATCTTTGGTCCAGTCACCCACATACCTTATTTTTATCCTCTGCAAAATACATTCGCAAGTCACCCATGTATGACAGGCTACATATTTTGGCATACAAGTCCTCCTGCAAGAAGATTTAAATTAAGCGGGATTTTATGTTTGCAGCAACTTTTTGAGAATACTATTATTATACCCACTAACCTCACTGAACTCAGCCGGTAAAAGAAGGAGAGCTGCAGATGCAGCGGCTCTCAAATTTACTGCGTTTACATTTTCAATATTCAAATTATCCACAATAATATTAACCTGAAATCAATAAGCCAAAGTCTCAGAAACATGCCACATATTAAGCACACGAGAACTATACAAAATAGGTGAGTAAAAGATCAAATTATGTATCACAACAGCACTTTCCACCAAAATTTAACACAATCTGTAAGGAAATTAGTTATTTCTATCCCGACACTTCTCCCAAGCAACACCCATGTAACACAACACATCTTTATCATTTCACATGTATAGATTCTGGAAAAGATGGAAAGACCTATAAAATCATATATCCCCTTATGTACCCATATTTGTATTTTTTTATTATGACCATTCTTCAGCAGTTTCTGTAGAGAAATTACAGTTCTGAGGACCTCATTTCACACAAGCCCATAAGTTTAATGGTGTGTGTGTTCAGGCAGGATCATGACTGTTAGGGTTAGAGCTCACACACGCACGAATCTGAAAAAACTAGTAACGAACGAGAAGAACGGCACACGAATTTAACCTGGTTCAGCCAGTAAATGTTACTGACCTAATCCACCTGGGCAACTAGGGTTTTCTTTCTTATTGAGATGATGAATGATACAAATCATTGTTTACAAGTACAGGAGTCAATATATAGGCAAACAATTAGGGAAAACACTTAATAAAGTTCTGGGCCTGACTGCCACCAAAGAAACAGGCCCAACTAGGGCTGCCTGCACATTTAACTAGAGCCGGAGCCTACAGCCCAACAATGACAAGGCAAGAAAAAGAAAATAAGACATGTAAGTACAAGACAAAGATAAGAATGGAACTTCTCAAATAGGCATACTGGTTTTTGCAAACGACCACTAGTGTAGAACCTCTCCCATCCCTTTATATCCTCAATCAAGTCATGCACTCGAACAACTCCATACTTGAACATCTGCTGAAGGTATGCAGATAAGATTTCTACAGAAAAATTCATCCATGTGTCTGATTAGTTATATGAATGCTCAGTTGCTCACTACCTTCTTATTCCAGGAAACAAAGGGGTTGAAGTGTACACCAACACCAATATTATTGGCAATACAATTAATCTGATAAGAACACAACAGGTTGTTATAATTATAGTTATGATTAATTAATTCAGGGTTTCTCTAATTTGTGTCCGCGAGTACATGTTAAAGAGTAATTATTTTGCTTCATTCGTCAAGTTTTACCAAAAGATTTGATAATCTGAAGAGAAAAAATTGCATGAATTAAAAAATCAATGCTATTAATGCGTTCATCACCATTATCAAGAATAATCTGTGAAACTATAGGCATTAACTTTTAATGGTTTGTATCATGTGCCTCATAAATACACTTAAGACAAACCAGACAATGATGGAAGATGGAATGATTGAGAGTAAATCAAACTAAAAAGATGCCAATGATGGAATGAGTACCAGCCTGCTTCCACCTGAGCGAACCAGCCATGATGCATAGTGATCACGGTTTACCTTCAAATTCTACTTAAGAGAGACAGTGAGAGGATTTAAATGGAAAATGGAAGGAGAAGGTAAAATTGACCAAACAAAAAGGAATTGAAATGGAATATACTTCTGTATGCCATTGTAGAGGATCAGCTACACCAAGAATGTAATCTACCATGGAATTCTACAAGTAAGAGGGAATAGAGTAAGCACTAAAAACATCAGTTACTAAAGTCTACTACTCTACTATCACTATTAAACCACATGGAAGACTGAATAACAAGCAGGACATTGTATAGCTGAAGAGAAAAAATATACTAAATGTATCAGCAACAACAATTTATTGGTCTTACCACAGACCGTAGTATTAAACAATCTATTCATATACTAAATTACTAACACAGACAAGTGGACAACAAACTGTTATTGTCATCGCCATCAATAATCAATTGCAAAATATAGAAACCAAGTATTAAATATATTCCAAGTCTTGAACACACAGAGTTTAAGGATAAGGGCTCAATACAAAAAACATACTACGTGTATACTAAGGTTGGTCATTTTACTATACATATGGTCTAACTCATCAATTTTATTCTCTAATTTCAGGTATCAAATTTTCTATCTTATTCGAATTCTTCTTTTCAGGTTCATACTTCAGTATATATCTAATTGTGTAAACTGCACTTAGTAATACTGATTTAAAATTTTAAATATTACCCGTAGAGAGTGAACTCTATAAGGTGAAAATTCGTGAGCTTTGGAACCAAAGTAGTGTATATAGAATATAGAATTAAATTACAAGAAAGAGTAGGAAGCAAAACCTGATCTTTTTTGTTTGGGTGAAGAATGGAGCCATAAACGCAGCAGAATTCAACTGGCGGTAGAATATTAAGCAACCCTCCAAACTCAGTCTTATCCTCATCATCCATTTTAACCGACTATATGGAACACAAACATGCTAAACCTTGAGATAAATTGTGCATAGAAATACACTCTGCAACGAGGATATGCAGAGACCTCCAATGGATTCCCGAAAGACTTGGAGGCCTTCTCAGCGCAGGGGCAGATCTAGCATTACGATCCAGTGGAGCCAAAATGAGAATATATAAAAGTCCAATAACATTAATATATAAAAGTCCAAGAGAATATGAAAAAAAATATACTAATGAGAATATGTGAAAATCAGAAGCATATATTTACATTAATTGTACATTGAGTAAAGCAAGAGAAAACAATACACAGCCAACAATATAAAATAGCACTAGAAAGTAAAATGGCTGTTTTTCAGCTTTATAAACCCTCACACTAAAAAATGAGATCGTAGGTTTTACTCGTTTATTTCACTACAACAATCTAGGGAACAATCTAGGGAGCAATCTAGGGATATTCCAGAACTCAGAATTCATGGTTCACAAGCGTGAATAGTATCGAACTAAAGGTCTGAAGCTGAATGCTAACAAGTCACAATATTCACATTAATCACAGATCACAATTCCTCGAACTAAAGCTGAATTTAGAATTCACAACAACCTGAAAATTCACAAGTAAATTCCAGAAATCTAGAGAGCAAATGAGCAATCTTTCTGAACTCACAAGCACAAAAACCCTCACATTCCAGAAATAAAGGCATAAAGCTGAACTAAATAAAATGTACGGAGTAACAAAAATAAAACTGAAAGTAAAACAAATACCTGAAAGTCCGAAGACCAGCGACTCAGCAAGAAGCCAAGCAGGCAGGGCCGGAGGGAGCAGCTGTGAAGGGCGGGACTCGGGAGCGGACGAGATGGCGAGCGCCGACCACAGTGAGCGGTAGCAGGTCTCAACTTGTCTCTTCGACAGTTCGACTCGGGATGAGGATTTGTGAACTGACTCACTAAGGTCCACGTCAGCTCATCGCTGATTTCCTGCTTCAGGCCCCCGGTGCTTGAGCAGTTTTGTTGTTTTTAATTTAAAGCACCCCTCTATACTATCCGTATCAGAATTATCTTCTTACTTTCTTTTTCGGTCCGTCCCAAATTTATCTCATCTTTCCCTTTTTGGCAAATAATTTGTGTTTCACAATCATTCTTACACATTTTTACACATTTCTTTTTCCTCTGCACAACTCTCCACCACACATTTCCCACTATCTTAAAATCTGTGTCCAGTCAAATAAGGAGATAATTCCGGGACGGAGGTAATACTCCCTCCGTTCCTATTTTATCTTCCAAATTGGGTTGGCACACAATTTAAGATAGTGGGTATTATGTGGTGGAAAGTTGTGCAGAGTAGAGAGAAATGTGTAAGAAATGTTGTGAACCACAAGTTCTTTACTAAAAAGGGAAAGTAGAAGTTTTAATTGGAACATATGAAAAATGAAAGTTGGAAGTTTTAATAGGAACGGAGGGAGTACCAATTATTATTAGGAAATACTTCCGGTTAAATCTTGACGTTTGCTTTTGGTACGGTGTTTTAGGTGATCAATTAATAGAAGAACAAATATTTTTCATGCTCTTTGATTTTTGGGGATAATTAATGTAATCCATTCAAATTTAAAAAGTGGATGGATAGTAAAGGGTAGTTAGGACATTTATTGTAGAAGGAGTTTCCTAAGAAGAAAACGTAAAGATTTAAATGAGATGTCCCAAAAAAGAAAGTGTAAAGGTTTAATTGGGATGGAGGGGTACTAACAAACGAGTTATTTTCAATATGAAAAGAACGGGTTTTGATAAAAATTTCGAGAAAGCATACAAAAACAATAACTACTTCCAACACTTGTTACAAATCCGATCATCAGCTCTAGAAATTGACTAGTCATTCAGCTCATACAAAGCAATATGACATGTTTGACATGAAACAGGCAATTTTAAACTTGAAACGATCAAAACCAAACCACTGCTTATCAAAAATATTCCAAATATCCAGATATCTAAAGTCTAAACCAAACATACGCGAATAAAAACAAAAACAAGTACCGATAAAGTAAAAATAACACTGTAATATAGCATTTCCACAACACTATTATTGGCAGGGAAATTTACAATATTCATCCCGTAACTTTCGGCCGTTATCATTATTAGTCCCGTAACTTTAGTCACTTGCAAATTTGGTCCTCTAACTAATTAATATTTGCGATTTAAGGACTTTTCCCCTGAAAAGTACACTTTCCGGCAATAGCATACCGGAAAAGATGTCGCCGGCGTCGAACTTTTCCGCCGGAAAGTGTACTTTCCGGTGAGAAAGTCCTTAAATTACAAAGATTTATTAGTTACAGGATCAAACTTGCTAGTGCCTAAAGTTACAGGACCAAAAACGATAACAGCCGAAAGTTACAGGACTAAAATTGCAAATCTCCCTTATTGGCATGAAGGTGGTTCTGAAGGAGGGCGAGCTGCTTCAATATGAATGAATAGTAAAGTCTTCTTCTTATTTCATTTCAGAAGGAGGCAGACAGAAACCCCTAATCAGGCGAAGCTGATCAGGACACCAAAGCAACTCCCCACATCGACGGAGACAAGACGCTCCATAATTAACCTTTCAATTTTTGAAACTTATGCACAGTAAGTTGGAGAGCTCTCGATTGAAGAAGTCAGCACCGGTAGAAGTTTTTGCATATTAAGGTTACAAGACGTGCATATTAAGATTACGAGATGTGCCTATTAATGTTACGGGATGTGCATATTAAGGTGACAGGATGTGCATTTTATATTTATAATGTCTCCACAACTTATATTAGATCTACATAGTGATACACTATATCGAAGTTGCATTTTAGTGTTTCATATGTTGCATCTTATCATTATGACATGTGCATTTTAGGAGTTCATATATTACATTTTAGTATGATGATATGTGCACTTTGGAAGTCCATGTTGCATCTTTCCGTTATGGCATCTTCATTTAATGGTTTCATATGTTGCATCTTATCATTACAACATGTGCATTTTAGGAGTTCATATATTACATTTTAGTATGATGATATGTAAGCTTTAATATTTCATACTACATCTCATCGCTATGACATCTTCATTTTAGTAGTTCATATGTTGTATATTATCAATATTCATGTGCATTCTAGAAGTTGATACAATGCATATTAGTAAGATGGTATGTGAATTTTAGAAGTTCATACACTACATTTTAGTAAGACGATATGTGTATTTTAAAAATCTCATATATAATCTGCATCTTATCATTATGACCTCTCATATGCACTTTGGAAGTTCATACTGCATCTTATCGTTATGGCAGCTGCATTATATACTCAACTCACATGCATACTAAAATCATGAGATTACATAATAATGCATAATATGACAACATAAGAAAATAATAAATGTTTCTGACATTTGAAGCACTTTTTTTTTGCATAAACACAAATTCAATGAATTTAATTAATACAAAAATCAAAACGTTAAATATAATACATCTCATAAAGGAAAAAATGTTGTTCCGGCGTGCACACCGGATTTAATTGTGATAGAGATTAGACATAATTCAAAATATTAAAATCTTATTAATCTCATAGAGAACAAAAAAGAGATTTTCCGACATGCAAGATATCATGGGGACTGAGATTGAGATGAAGATGGAGATGAAGATGAATTAATCGCGATGAACAAGTTATACCCAATGAATTTTACGATGAAGAAGAAATAAAATTCTCAGATGAAAACGAAATAAAGCTTCATTCGTGAAGAAGGAAGAAAGGAAATAAGAGTGAAGCAGAAGTTATGGAAAGAAGTTAATAGAAAGAGATAGTGATTTTTCTTCTTCTCCAAAATTAGAACAAATCAAAAGGACTTAAAGACCCCCAACTAATTTAATTAGGTAACCGCATATGGTATTAAACGCACATAAGATCAAATGAAACGAATGATCATGATTAGTTTGTAGGTTAGCAAATTAAGAAGAGTTTGTATTTGATCTCTAATCTATGTGTGTGTGTGTTTGTGGTTTTTATTTTAAATAAATAGCAAAGATAGATATAACCCAAATAAACAACCAAAAATGAAAACCAACAATAAATAACAGGCAACATGATGCAATAATTTTATTTCCGCAAGTAATACTTTTTCATCTGTGTTTCATGTCATATGGGCAAGTCGCATCATTTACCATTTACTGAAACTAATTGTTCGTGTGACAAACTTTAATATTTATATTCTAGTGTGCAAAGACAAAAGGTTGGACACGGGCAGAGGTTTAAAGTTGTAAACAAATGCATTCATGATGATTTAAAGATTAAAACGTAATCAGACTCACACATACTTTGATTTAATTTTAGATGATATTGGACATTTAACAAATAAGGGAACTCATATGATTATTAATCATTGTATGTCAGTTCACCAAAGATATTGTTGAGTAATTGAAGTGACGATTCTACATAAAAAACTATCATGTTCAGAAATAGCCTCCAAAAAATATATTAAAACGAAATTGGTGCCTCAATCAACAAAATTAAACTTCATGTGACACCTTTGAGTTCCACATGAGAAACCCCATGATAATCACATGTTTGCCCACAAAAACCTTTATAGGGTTTCCCGGAAAGATTACTAAGGTTTACCCGGCCAGTATTTTGGGCCAGAAGTGGACACCCTTGTACTAAAAAAATTCTCCACTCCATCAAAGGTTCAATCATAAAAAGATAATGAAACTCCAGCTTCTTTATTTGATGATGAAAAGTTCCAACAGATGGGGAAATGTATTTGTAAGCTAGTGCCCTTCTGGTAGAGAGCTCAGAGTAAACACAAACTAAAGGAAATGAAATATTACAGATGTGTCGACAGATGGGTTGGCTGGGTGCTGGGCTTCAATTCCAAGTACAAACAAATCCCTTTGCCCGTCGTCAAAATAAAAGGATTTGATGAACCCTAAGATTACAAAGAAGATTTACTTACTACCCCCTCTCACCCACCTCGGACAACTCTTCTAAGGTCCTCGTTCTCCTTGTTCAGAAGGTCAATCCGTGATTGAAGAATGTTGATCATAGCTTGGGCTCTCATCACTTCAATCTTTAGCGTCTCCCTCTCCATAGACACGTTCAGAATCTCATTCTCCAAGTTGCTTATGAACTTCAGGTACCCAGGTGGCACTGACTTCTCGAGAGTGGAGGAGTCAAAGGTGGTGTGCACATTTGAAGGATGGGTTTCTTTGGGTTCAATGGAATCTAACAAGGGGAATTCTAATAGGGAAGGGGAGTAATTTGTCATGGTTGTTGGAGGAGGGTCCTGGATTGTGGTGGAGTCTTCTGATCCATTTGCGTGGCTTGAGCTAGGATCACTGTGCTGCTTGGATCTTTTGGCTTGGCTCAACGAAAGAGGTTCGGGGTCCTCCAATCTCTCTCTCTTGCAAACAAGTGAAAGCACCTGAGGAGGATCCACTGGACTTTGAGGCGCCTTCAATAGAGAACCAGCCTGAAACAGCCAGCTAGCTTTTAAGACTTTAAGCAATATGATTAGAGTCATTATACCTACTTTGATAAGGGCTATTTTTGTCTGAAATTGGTGAGTTATATCAAAGAAAAAGCATCTGGTAAAACCATTATCAGCCAAATTCATAGAGTCATTATGAGCCCATTAACTATACCAAATGGGGCCTAAATATGTATTTCTAGGGGTGGCGCTATGAAACCGCCTTGTCGGCAAGGCCACAATCAGGCGACAAAGTAGTAATGTGATTCACATGATCAATATCTAACGAGTCGGAAAAAAAATCATAAAGAAAGAGTGAAGTACAAAGATTAAAAAAAAGTAAAGAAAATGAAGGGAAGGGGAGATAAAATGAAGAAAAGTAATAATGAGAATACAAATGTGATGGATTGGGCTGCCTGATCAAAATATATTTGGCAAAAAAACTATCTTGCACACCCAGTAAATGCCTAGTTGACATCTATGTGATGCCATTCCATGTTTGGCGCTCTTCAAGCGAGGCGACCAGCCATGGCGAGCGCTCTCCACTGCCTGGGGCCCTACGTGTCACCTAGATGATGCCATGACAATTATGGTGTATTTTCAATATTAACTCTACCAAAATGAGGCTTTATTATTTATTTTTAATGCTAAGTCAAATGGGGCCTTAATATGTATTTTCAATATTACTTTTTCTACGGTTAAAGTAAAACTAGAGTTCATGCATAAGGCAGATGTATAATTAACCACGTGGAGAAAAGCATTTTGGTACTCAACTATTCTGCATTCTTCAATGTGTTGTCTATCTTTGCAAAAAAAGGTAAATCTGATCGGTGGGCATTTAGCAGGATGTGAGTAGGATTATGCAAGGCCTACGCGAGAAAAACACATAGGTTCATAAAGGTCGCCACTTTGTGTAGAGAGGGTTAGGGGATGGGGGTAGGGGGGATCCAAAAAACATTTCTATGTATTAGTAAATGGAATGCTAATCAAGAACTGACCAAGGGTGATTGAATTATTGAAGTGGTATTAGTTCAGTTATTATGTTATTCCTCCAATTTGTTTACAATATCGAACTATATATAGAAATTTCACAAAATATGATTAAAAACAAGGCGGTTTCTCTAAATAGGAACATTATGTTCTTATTCCAGAAATAATAATAGAGTCATGTTATGGCATTAATATGGCAGTGTTTTGGCAATATTACTGTCACATTCCATTGTAGGATGACAGCAATTATTCCTATTCAGGAAAAAAGACGGTACAATATGGACAATTTCTTAGCGAAAACCATGTTGCTCTTACTCCTATTTAGGGCAATTTCTTAAATACATATAGGACAATATGGACTTGCCCTTCTAAAACATTTCAGAACTCTCCATCCAATTGACCCTATGGGTTTAAAGGGGATGACTTCGAAGAGCTTAGTCGATAGATTGATGACTACATTGTTTTTGAGAACGAATCAGTGGTGATTAAAATTTTATATGACCACCTATTAAGTTTTATATTTATGTTATTTCAAATATATCAAGACATTTTTTCATCATTTCCAATGGAGCCAACACTACAAGCAACTGAAAGCACTGATAGCATGAACACAAAAAAGCAAACACTAGGCAGCAGTTTGTGAAGCCCAAAAACAATTTTGAACATGAAAATATAGACATATATACAAGACCTGGTCAAGATCATTGCCCTCAACATGATCATCACCATTGGTGGCCTCATCCTCAGCATATCCACCAGGAACCACAAGCACTGTCTCATCATCCCATTCTTCATCAATAAAAGGTGCATATCGATCGCCATTAGGTGGTCCCAACCCACTTTTCTGGAAAATTCTACACAGGACAAATGCATCCTTTTTCCACCAAAACCAGAAAATAAGAAATAAAACTGTGTGAGATTTAGTGCTGTTTGGTGAGACAGTAAGAGTAATGGCTGAATTTAGAAAGGAAAGTCAAAAGCAACAAAAACTGCTAATTCTGTTTATTCTGCTCATAATTAAAATAAGCCAAATAAGGGTACCAAGTGAGGCATTTAACACCTCTATAAATGGAGATACTCATAAAATAATATAATGAAATAAAAAATAAAACAATATCAAACTCTAATAAGATCCACCTGTATCACCCCAGCCTGCACTAATTCTTCGTCAACGAGCCTATACTCATGCATTACCCAATTTGTCCGCTTCCCATCAGGAGCTCTCCCGCTGTGAAAAACAAGGGTTTTCTTCATCCCAATAGTTTTTGACTTATGACGCACAGAACGATCCTTCCCAGTTGCCTTCCAGTACCCTTTTCCGGTGGCACGGTTGAGTCGAGATCCATTCCCATATTTCCTATCTACAGGGCTAAAAAAGTACCACTCTAGATCTCTGTTTTTCAAAGATGAATATTCTGCATAAAATGAAGGAAAAAGTTATCCTCAGAGAAGCTGGAAACTTGATGAATATGTGAAATGGAGCAAAGAATGCACATAAAATATGTAAGTGTACAGAAGTATGCAAGGTTTATATGTTTTCCCTAAATGAGGAAATACATCAATCGAGCCGGTAATCCTCGAGAGTTTTCAAATTCATGAATCGCAATAGTCTTGCAAGCCAAGTATTTATAAGGTAGTTATAATATCAAAATTTAAAATCTCTCCTTAGTACACCTACAACTTGACTTCAAAAAAAAGCTACCTTTCACTCTTTAAGAACTCGCCAAGAACAGGAGTGCCTTGGACTCAAAGTCTCAGTTATAAATTATACTACCTTCGTTCCAATAGGTTTATCTTATTCCTGATGGGGAGGTTTGAATAAAGTTGAAATTAACTCACCTCCAATAATATTTAAAGTAACATAATTAGTAACTAGACTTAAAGTTTTATTGAGCTGCGGAAACTGAACTCAAATAAGAAAACGTATGATAAGTTGATAACAAAATCAGAAAATGAGAAGAAATTAAGTTTTTTTTAGAGTAAGAAATTAAGTTGACCACATAGAATAATAAGTGTTAAAAAGAAACAGGGACATACGGAGTACATTGTAGATACTGAAACAGTCCCTAATTTTTTTGTACTGCTGTGATTATTTCATAGCTTGCATGCTAAAGATTTCAAACCTTCAAAACACTCTTTTCAAACCACAATATAAAATGACTCGATTTCCACACAAACCCCCTTACTATCCTGCTTCAAATTTTCAATCCTTACTCTTTCAATTGTAAACATTCTAACATCAAAAGCAGATCTATTCTTAAAAAAGAAACAATTTACAGGCATATTATCGCCACCAGACCAGAATCTCAAGAATCCGTTGTCAGACCAAAACAAATACTGAATGACCCCCACCGAACATTTGATATACAAATGAGCTAAACAAAAATCAGTTTAAACTGGGAAGGAAACAGACCCGCAAGCTCCCAAGGTTCAGATTTGTAAACATCAATCTCCGAGACAGCCTGAAAGCGGAAGGGCTTCCCGCATGCCTTGCGGCGGAGGTAATACCTAACAAGCTCCTCGTCTGTGGGGTGAAACCTGAAGCCAGGGGCCAGAGACGTCGGCGGCGCCACCACCCGCTGCGGAATCGCCAGCAACGAACCTCCGTCCTGTGCTGCTGGCTGCTCCATCGCTCCCCTAATCAATCAGATAGTTCCGCAAGAAAGACAGATATACATACACAGATACGGGGGTTGGAGAAGATGAAGATTATGAGTGAAGCAAAGCTGACAAAACAGAGTACGTTGATAATCAATGGCGATGTGTTTTAGATAGAGGGGGAGGTTTCAGTTATTGCCCATGGGTTAAGCAAGGGAAGGATAGATAGGAATGGAATGGATGCTTGCTTTACACGGAAATCGAAAAGCACAAAAATGAATTTCGCAAGATATTGCTTTCATTTGGCTTTCAGCAGGGGTGTTCACCGGTCCAAAACCGGACCGGACCGGACCGAAACCGGTCAGGACCGGAACCAGAATCTTAAATTTATGAGAACCGAAGACCGACCTATTACTAACCGGTCCAGACCGACTCGGACCGGAGTTTTCCGGTCCGGTCCGGTTTTGACCCTAATTAACCCGGTTTTTTAAACAAAAAAATAATAACATAGACTTTTATTTCGAAAAATAATCCGATGAGCAAATATGCGTAGTAAATGTTTAATTCATATATCAATATTAGCATATAAATGTTTATTACTTCCCTAGTGCACACTACAAACTAGCAGACTGTATTTGTAGTCTTGAATTCTTGCAGGTGATGGACACATGAAATGAGGGCCAAGCTATTGGGGCTCAAACTTTTTCTATTGTTTTTGGATACAAAATAAAGGAATAAATACAAAATAAAGGAATACATATAAAATAATGATAAATAATAAGGAGTGACCATATTGATTTTCCGTTTGGTTTTTATCGGTTTTTGGTTCGATTCGGTTTGAAACGAGTTAGGCGAATTAGTACCAAATAAAAACCATACTATTTTTCGATTTGGTTCGGTTCGATTTAGTTCGGTTTGATTTGGATTTGTTATTTTTTTATAAAATACGAAGGTTTTATTGAATTTTTTTAGTTCGAGTTGATTTTTATTGGTTTTGGTTTAATTTGGTTTAATATGGTTTGCAAGAAATACTACGAAACTCAAATCAAATATGTTCACCCCTAATAAATATGGTTTCATTGCATCACATTATTTTCACGAAGAAATCACACATTCCAATCTTATCTTAACTAAAGTCAACCAAGTTATTATTGAATAAATATATAAATATATTAGAGTGACTGAAATTATGAAATTATCATTCAAATGAAATTATGAAATCTTTTTCATTTTCCATAAAAATGAGTTAAATAACTTATTTAAATGTGAATCGCCTTACATACCTTGTTGTCATTCGTAAAATGGAACCGGAAAAACTACAACTTGTGAACTAACACATTAAGAATAGAGATTGTTTATTCAAATAAAATTACTACATCTTTTTCACTTTTCATAAAAGTGATTAAATGTGAATTGTCTAATATACTCTACGAATACGTGTAAATTAAATTTGTATTATACATACGCAGAGATTATAATTAGGTAATAATCTTCATTGCGTTATTTATTTAAGAATGTTTATATGATAAAGAGTTATATTCAAATATACTCTGGAATGTAGCCAGATCACCGGTCGGTACAAAAAATGTTTTTTAAAAGAAAATACATGAATTTTTTTACATTAAAAATTAAGACATTTTTTAAAGTTCGAGTGAGTTAGGACTTAAGTTGACCCCTCTAGCTCCACCAGTGAATATACTTTAATAAGGAAATGAAAATCTATGTCTCCAAATGTGAATATGCATGCTCATAAATTTATGAGGGTGTACATGGAGACAACATCTACAAAAGAAGAAATGCTTATTACAAATCTATGAAAGTGTAATTTTTATGTTGGATTCATTAAATGAAGAAGTGCATATTCTTCTAAGTTCTTTTCTCTTCACGCTTCAACGTAAAGGTTTCAGGTGCGTTCCTTTTCTTAATTTTTCTTCTTCTGGTTTTTTCTATTTGTTGGATTTTTTAAAATATTTTTCTTCTATATCATCGTTTGAGACGTGTGATATTCAAAATGCTATTAATAGTTTTTGCAATTTAAGTCATCTTATTAATTTGAAAGGATTTGTTTGTTTAGATTTATTTTTTATTTTAAAAAGATATTTATTCTTTTTACACTTCAAATAAATTAAAATACTGTTTTTAATAACAAGTATGATTATAACATTATCACCCTTGGCAAATAATCAATATTGATTATTCTTATGTATTAATTGGTGCTAAAGTGGTATGAGTTGATTGGCTAAAAAGTTGATAACAAACTGTTAAGACACTGAATGTGGTTCACGCATAGAAAAAATATTCGTATATCCGTTCATTCTTGATGTACACGCCCTTGTACACACCTTATACATATCATGTTTGTGAAGCTTTTTTTTGTCTGTGAATCCGGTTCACAGACAATATTTTGTTTGTGTAAAACATTGTCTGTTAATCGATGTTCACAGATAAAAAAAAGCTTTCACAGACATAAGTGTATACAAAAGTGTGTATAAGAGTGTGTACAAACATCATTTTTGATATTAAAGATATCTTTAATATAGTACTTGATATTTTTCTAACTCATGTAAATTTGTATATGTTTCTTATGAGTAAATTTAAATTAATAATTCAACATTATTTCGGGAAAAAGTTCTACAAATTCTAGCCTTATTTCTATCGATATTATTGGTAAATACTTTCAATCCAACATTATTTCGACAAATACTTATTTAATTCGCATTAATCCGGGAAAATTTTTTAGCTTGTTCAAAAATTGAAAGGTTTTTTCAAGGAATTAAGAATATTCTAATAGTTCGTAACATCCATTTTTATATTCAATTAATCAAATGCACTCTTTTGTCATTGACAGAAAATAGAATTAGACATTCCTAGCATTTTCATCAGATTCGGATCTCGTTCTGCATGTGGTGATGGAACTCAAGCCCTTATTTTAATTTCTTGGTGTATTCGTACGAGAGATATTAGCCACTTGGATTGGGCATGCAAAGATGTTTACGGAATTCTTTTACATTAATTTAATTTGTTAGCACATAAAAAATATAAAATCAAATTCTCCATTAATTTATATAAAATTTAATTTACACTCGGTCAATTCAGTGTGTTCCTGCATTATAACTACAAAAAAATTCGCCCGTAGTCACGGACTTAGTCACGGACCGCAGTGTAAAAAATCTGTGACTAACTATGTTAGTCACGTATTTTGTCCGTGACTAAGTCCGTGACTAATTCCGCGTGACTACAATGTAGTCACTGAAATTCGGCCGTGACTAAGTGTACTCACGGATTAGTCACGGACCAGGTCCGTGACTAATTCTTGACCGGAATTGCTACTCTGGCACGGTAGTCACGGACCTGGTCTGTGACTACCTTTAATTTATTTATTTTTATTTTAGTCACGGACTGATCCGTGACTAAGATTTTTTTTTTGTTTTTAAAATTCGGCCATTTTAGTCACGGACTAATCCGTGATTAAGTTTTGAAATTTTCGAATTTTTAAAAGCCCGCGGTTTACATTTTCAAAATTTTGTATTAGTCACGGACTCACGGACATGTATCCGTGACTATTTCTTTTAACTAAAATTCCCTTAAAAGAATCTGTGACTAAACCGTGACTAGAACCGTGACTAACTAGTCACGGACCAAATCCGTGACTACAAGCGATTTTTTTTGTAGTGTTAATTCGAGAACACAAAAATGCGCAATTATCTTCAAGAATTAATTTGAATGTGTTCCCCATTGAATTTCATCTGATATTTGGTATGAGTAAACTAGACTTGGTGAATAAGATTCTCAAAAAATTTCATCAAAAAATTCCACCGGTAACTGCCCCAAATCGCGACGGCCGGACAGTAGCCGAGGGCATTCAATTTTACCGTACTTAGTATTTTTTTTATTCTCTTTTTGTACTTTGATGTCATTGTTCTTTTATTGCTGACCCGTCGGCCTAACCCCTTATTGTTTTGCAGGTATCCCGGTATCCAAGATGAATGTTAAAGGGTTTGCTGGTCTGAAGAAGAAGTCCGCAAAAAATCCGAAGGGGGCGGATGCGGGCAGCCAGAAGCCCGCCGGTGATTATTTTAAGAAGTCCGAGGGCCTGTCGACGGCCCCTGCTACTGATGCCGGCGACGCCGGCGACGCCGTCGGGAAGAGGAAGGTGGTGGCCAAGGACGCCCCCCCTTGCTAGCAAGAAGTCAAGAAAGGGGGATGCCACGAAGAAAGATCCCCCAGTGGTGATCGTGGACGAGCACTCCACCTCCGGGGCGCATGCAGAGGTGCCGACGGCTGGAACGCCGATGGGTATGGGGGTGCTACCCCCGGAGATTCTGCAGGTCTCCCTCCCGAGGGGAACAGCCGTGACGAATTGCACGGTCAACCCGAGGGCGCTCCTGAGGGGCATGACCCCTGAAATAGACAGGGCCGCCCTCGGAGCCCATGATGACGTGGCCCTCGAGGACAAGATCCTCCGATCCTCCGATCCTCCCTCACTGTAAGTTTCTTCATTGGTATCATTTTTTCTTGCCTTGGGATATATTGCATAGCTTTCCTAAGTCCCTTGCATCTTACAGGCTTGCATTGCCCTCAGTGAGCAGGCCCGGAGGTTGGAGGAGTGGCGCCTGCACAAGGCCGGGCAGGACGCGAAAATGAAGGAACTCATCCATCAGAACTCCGATGCCATCAGGCAAATGGCCAAGCTGGAGGAGAGCCTTCGACAGATGAAGCTGCGAGTGGAGGCAGCTGACCGGGGCAAGGCCGAAGCTGAGAGGTCCGCAGCTGAGGCCATCGAGAAGGCCGCCAAGGCGGAAGCCGTTGCCAAGACGCGGGAGGAGGCCATCTCCGGATTTCTGGCGGAGTGGTAGAAAACCGAGGGGCACAAACAGTGGCTGTCCTCGGTTGTGGAGTCGTCCGTTGGCGAGTGGTGTGACGGGCCCGACGTAGATTGGCTGTCCCGAAAGGGCAAGAAATATTATGATGGGGGTGAGTTTTTTACTCAGGCCCTCATCTACCGGAGGATGGCCCGTCATTTGAAGATCGAGCCGAAGGATTTTGATCCGGCGGCATATGGCCTCCCTCCCCTGCAGCCAGACGTTCGTGTTCCCCTCCCTTTCGGGTGTTGACAGACCAGATTTAGAGTGACACCGAACTGATGAAGGAGGCCGAGGGAGACAATGCAGAGGCTGGAGTAGAGGTCACTTCAAAGCCTACTGAGGAAGAAAATGCTGAATGATTTTGTACTTAGATAATTTTTGAACCATCTTTGCAACAAATATTCATGATCCGACGGCTTC